TCTCTCTCTCTCTCTCTCTCTCTCTCTCTCTCTTCCACCCACCCTTAAAAACACCACCCAACCAGAATAGGTTAAAAAAAATGAAACAAAGATTGGACAAAGGACAAAAAGCATACAACCGCAAATGGTCTACAGTGCAATGTTAGCCTTATAGCTAAAGGCAAGCTGGACAGTTTTTCCCCAAACAACCATGTTACATAAGTGATGGAACAGTCGCTAGCTTGTTATGGTATAGATGCAAAGCCTCTTTCAACACTCTGAGTTTATCTAAGACTGGGGATCTCTAAATGTAACGTCCATCTCCTATAGGACAGAGCCAGGTGTGCGGAGTGCCTGGGATCAGTCGGGGATTTGCTGTGCATGTGTGTGTGTGTGTGTGTGTGTGTGTGTGTGTGTGTGTGTGTGTGTGTGTGTGTGGTGTGTGTATCTTCATCTGTGTTTGTGTACGTGTATTTGTGTGAGTGTGTGTGTTTGTTTGTTTTGACTTTGTGTGTGTGTGAGAGAGAGAGTGTGTGTGTTTGTGAGTGTATTTTGGAGTGGTTATTTTCTGTTGGATTTTAGGGAGGAGGGGTAGAGAGAAGACGAGAAAGGGACAATAATTATCTTCTAAAATAAGCCAAACTTGAGCACTTCGATTACAAGTAACCATGAGACGGAATAGCCCACTTTGCAGAAAATCAAAATTAGGGATCGAATCATGTAAATCATAATCAGACAAGGTTTATCTAAGTTTTAAAAAGTGAGCGGTTCCTGTAAGGAGGCAGAGCCCTAAAGCGCTAACTCGACCACAGACTTATAAAATGGATAGACTTAGAAACCAATTAGTTATAAATCATGCATTTTTATTACATCAAGTGGAACAGGATGCCAAATAGTCCTTGATTGCCGGAATGGCCTCAATAGTCGCCTTCAAGTTCCGTAGTTTCTTGTACTTGGAAAGGTCAAGGTCAGTAAGTTTCCCCAGCTCTTCCACAAGTCGGTACACGTAGAGGTCAGCCACTGTCAGCTGGGAAAAAAGGAAATTCTGGTATAGGTTTAAGTTTAAGACTTCACGAATTAGAAATGTTGAAACCAAGAGAACAGCCCGCAAGCTCCGCACTTCCACAAGTGGAAGTGAAACTTGTAAGTGTTCAAAATGTAGCTAACGTTTTCTCTGTCAAAATTGGTCTCATCGGTTAAAGTAGAAGCCAGAAGTCATCTCAATCTTCTTCTAATTCCTCTATTTTTCGGGAGAAAGATTATGCTGTGCGGATGTATTGATCATAACGCTTCCTGTTTGTCAGTCCTCCTACACAGCTCAGTTTTTCTCATTGTGCCATCTGGCATGAAGGTCTGATGTACATGTAATATCATTATTAGAAGACAAAGTGCTTCTAACAAACCCTGTATTGCAATGGTATCTCACATGACACCACAATAACCCCCATGACTCAACTTGGAACAAATATGATTGTCTGACGCATTATCGACCGCCTCTGGGGAGTTCGTGTGTGTGTTGCGTGTGTGCTTGTAAGAGAGAGAGACAGAGAGAGAGTGGGGTTGACGGAGAGAGGGTGAGAGTGCTAATCCAGAGAGGATTTTTTTTAATTTCTGCTCATACTCGTGTACATTGATTTTGGTTTCGTGATTTATTAATTTACAGGTGAGTTAAAAAGGATCCCTTACCGACGTGCCGACGAGATAAGTGTAGGTTCTGTTGGAGGATTTGGTATCCTTTGCCAGCGCCTCCCAGCGGTCCAGGTATGCGAGGGCGTTCTCTTTGAATTTTCCTAAAAGTTTCTCCTGTAGGGGTAGTAACAGAACACGGCTGAGTAGCGCATCAGCAAGATGGCTGTCATTTAGTGCAAGGGAAAAGTAAGGCACACTATAGACAGAAACAACACACGAAAAGAAAAAAAAATACGATTTCTGTGGTTGCTTCATAAATGATATCGAGAATTATCTGTACTGATAGACGAAATCTTTCTTGCTCTATCTATCTATCTATCTATCTATCTATCTATCTATCTATCTATCTATCTATCTTAACAATAATAAATAAATTACATTTTATTGATCCCCGTGGGGAGGGGGGGTTACAATAGTAAACAAAGAAATAAGAAATTAATACATACATAAATAAACAATAGTATACCAATAAAGAAAAATTCCACAAACATGCCAATGCTAGTCGACACTGTTTGGGGTCCTGGTGGTTTTTTGTGTGGGTTTTTTTTTTTTTTTTTTTTGTTTTGTTTATTGTTTTATTTTGTTGTGGGGTTTTTTTGTGTTGTCTCTTACTCAAGGACACAACCCAGTGACCACCAACGTAAACCCTCTATCTTTTTGTTGTTTTGGTAAGTGTTTTACGTCTCTTACAACTGCATAAGGTCATATGAGCACGTGGGATACATTAAACATTTTCAGTGTCGTAGGAATAAATTTTTTATTTTGCCAGGATGGCGACCGAAGCCTACTCTTATCGATTTGAGAAGCACCGAGGGATTTTTAACGTGCGCAACTTGCACATGAAACCTCCGAGAAGGCTAGGTTTTAGATCTTACCTACCCTAAGATCAGGGGTGTGGCTGAAAGACAGCAGTAAGAAGGAGTCAATGAGTAACAGTGGAAAGGCTGCAAAAAGAGTCAGGAGCCCAGAGGAGGAGGCGAAGGGGTGGAGTGAGGGCAAAAAGAGGATATGAAAGCAGACGAAAGAAAATAGAGAGCAGGAAAGGAGGTGAAAGGGGAAACTAATTTTAGAGAAGAAAACTTTCCGTCGCTGTAAGGTTTCGAACCCGGGACCTATTGAATATTTATGCGTCTGCCGATCTGTTTGTCACCCCCATCTCCCC